GCGAAACTTTTTCAGACAGTGTTTAAAATTTGAAATAAAAACACCAAGAAAATGATCACAAAGAGAAAAAAAATAAACATCTAAAGAAATAATTTTCATTCGTCTTTAACCAAACTCATTTTCTTGCTTTCTTGTGCGTTCTGATCAGACAGATCTATCATCATTTCTAGAATGGTTTAATTATTATTTCTCTGGAAGCCGTATATAATAAAATGGGATCTGAAATTGAAAGAAATGTAGCAAATTTTGTTTTGATGAAACAGAATTTGGGAATGAATCTCTGATAAACATTTCACACTAATTCAGATAACTTTCCATTATAATCCAAAAGTTGTTTCCATCGCTTTATAAATGAGAGCATTCCACTCTTTGGCGTGCGCCAAGATGAAGGAGATATTTAATTTACTCGAGAAGTACGCCTGAGGAAAGAAAACTTGCATGTGAAATTCACTTTTTTTTAGGAATATTGACCGAAGAAAAATAAGCACAAACTAGACTCACAGGCTCTGAAAATTTTCCTAAGTACTACAGTTATTGTGACAGAAAAGAAAAAAAAAATCTATTTGTTGTTTCTCTAGATTCAATAGAGAAACTGGAAAATATTTTTAATACTGAATTTTAGAGTAAAGTCAAAAACCATTAAGCTATCAAAAGATTTCATCAGCAGAAATAGAACGAAGGGAAGCCGATGAGCTCTCTCTCTCATATATATATATATATATATATATATATATATATATATATATATTCCCTAATGTATGGTAAATATATAGTTGTTGAGCTCATCGTCTTCCACTCGTTCTATTTCTGCTTTCATATATATATATATATATATATATACACACACACTTGCCAAACAGGTTATTATTTTGCTGCTGACAATAGTGAATATATATATATATATATCAATAAAACTTATAAATACTAATTTAGAGAGATGCTGATGTTATAAATGTAATAAACAAGATTTCTCCCATGAAAATCAATAATGTAATTAATAATATTATTAATTTTAATCTTACTTAGCTAACTAAAAGTATTGATAGTAATAATGATATTAAAATATGCCGTGGTAAAATAAAATTAAATTGCTAATAAAAATAATATAAAATGAAATAAGATAATGTAAGATAACGTCTCTCTAAATTAGAATTTATAATTCGCGATCCAATCTTACTTTCAATCTTAAATGTTAATCTGGGAATAAATTCTAAATCAAAATTAAACTACAATTCATTTACATATTTTAATAACAATAATATTCCTCCGCGACAATAAAGTATCTAGCAATAATCAGAAATTATATTAAACCGGCATAAAACTCACAGTTGTGCAATCATATGTATATTTATGAATATATAGTAAGTATCTCCGTTATTTAACATTGAGCAGTGTTTTTTTGTTAAACTATAGAGTATTTACATGTATTTGTATACGATCCGTCGTTCGAACATCTACCTATATTTACCCATTTAGCTTTATATATATATATAAGCTGTTAGATTAGAACATGTCAGTTACTACATTTAGTACGAACTAGTTGACAGAATGGAAGGGTATACCATATGATCTTCCTGTCTCTGTTTTTTTTCTTTCTGGAACAACTATAATGTTCTACAGACTTAATTTCAGTTGATTTGAACCCTATATCCCTAAAAACTTTATCATAAAATGTTTGATGTTTCTCGAATGCCTATTTTTGCTGGAGGATTGTTGGTTAATACGTCGTTCAAAAGATGATGGAATATGTTGGATTACAGACGGTGGATGATTAATCACCCTCACAACCAATGAAGGAAGTTTTCGTTATGGAATGACGATTATGATAACTCTGGTTAATTAGGTCTTATACTTTTATATTTCGCTGATTGATTGATTTTTCAAAATGACATAACAAGCTAAATGGTTTATGCAATGCCGTAATATAAATATTTGGAACGCAATTGTATGCGTTCAGCTACAAATAAAATATATTGCTGGGCATTTTACTATAATTACGTATTGTTGGTAATTTTAATATAGAATGTATTTTTATACATTCATAGTGTTTTGTTTTGCTTGTTCCATCACAAGTGCTACCACCCCGGGTAAAGGTGAACCTTGGAACAACAGCAGTTAAAGAGGGAATTCAACGCTCCTCAAAAACTCGATTATCCTGATCAGTGTCTTGCTGCCGGATGTAGTTTACCTTCATAGGCAGGTATATATTATTTTCGTAATGTCTATTGATATATATATATATGATGGCTGTTACCACATCGTCTAGTGTCGTCATCACACACTTGTGAATTATGATATCTAACAATGATTGTATGCGGAATTTTTAACGGGGAGAAGAGTGATGTATGGAATAAATCGCATTTTTCAAACAAGAATATCATCTACCCAACACAAAAGAACGGCCAGTCAACATCATTGAATGCTGTAAAACCGCAGGTGTTACATAAGAATTTTCTTGTTTTTAGTCTTGCATTTTTTGCTATCCAACTTTGTCTCGTTACCTGGATAACCTTTAGTACATCTAGATGTATTTTATCTTTAGTCTGAAGTCTTCACAAATTTCTTTAATAATAAGACTTTATTCCGATCGAAAAAGGCAAAGATTTATAAGTTAATTTCTATTTTCTACAGTCCAGAATCAAACTATAATTTTAGGAAAATTGTTTCCATTAGTCTTTAAGAATTGTGGAACTCATTAATGCAAAGAAGAAAGGAGACATTATTTCAGTTCTGTAAGAGTGTGAATCAACCTTTGTGATCAAACTGAAAATAAGACTTCAAGAAAATAAATTTTCTTCATATTCCTCCTTTATTGTTTCCTTTACATTTTATCTTCCTGTATATGTTAATTAAGAGTAAGAACGGAGTAATGTTATCATATTTTGGCGGGAGCTATTCAGACCTCGCTCACTAGCCTTGATAGATTCACTTGTCCCGCCAAGTCGAACCTTCACATCAAGAGCACGCCATGCCACTTACATATTAGCAAAACACTCACATCCCCTCCGTATTCCATCGATAAGAAGTAAGTTACACTTGAGCAGCTTCTTCTCGAGAACTACTACTCTTCCCCCTATCACTACAATCTTAGCCTATTCACGGCTAGTGTTTCACTTTATCGCCCACTCTTATACACGCAAATTTCCTCCCAACGTAATCCTCAAACTTGAGTGCCTTTAGCGCCTTATAAAGGGTGAATCTTACCATAAAAATAGAAGAAAGCATTTCTTTAACGAAACGGTCATGTCGGCGGGACTTAGAAATACATCGATTCCCTCTCCAGGGCAGAAGGATGACATCTTTCAAAAGGGAGCAACCTATAATTGCTAAGTCGGGTGTAACATGGATCTGGCGAATATACAAATGAATTAAATGTAACTTTACTTTTCTTTTGGAAGATTAAAATTGATAAGCAAAAAGTTAACTAATTATCCCTCAACAAAATATATGCATAGATATGTTTGTGCGTTAGAGTACATATTATAAGCAAATTAATTTAAAACCTATAAAGTAAACATCAGCACAAATAAAAAAAAAATCTTTAAAAATATCTTTAAAATCACGTTTGTATTTGTTAAACGTTAGGAGTAAAAGAAAACATCCAGTTTTCTCGTCCAAGTAATTATTAAATAAGCCACATTGAATGACTTAAACAGGAATTAGCGAAACTACTTTTATTAAGAAACAATGATAACGGCTAGGCAGTTCAGTTGTTGCAGACTGAAACGTCTGACATTTGCATAGAGTGGGAAAATTAACGTTAAAGCGAGGTGTGTTAATAGAATTTCACACTCAGTCACTTTTTCTCTCTAAATAGTTCATTGTAGTACCAGGTGGAAATAGGAACAAGATTTTAATTTAAACCATTTAAAAACATTCATTGATTTCTGGCTATATCCTTTAAGAATTAATCAGAATTTTGGCAGAGCTGACAGAAAATTCTTTGTTTAAACGAACTGCAAAATTCATTTGAAAATAAACGATTAAGTCATTTATATCAAAGATTAAACTTTGTTTCGTTGCTGGTATTTTCTTTTCATCGAGTTAATCCCGAATTATCTTTAAATGCTAGATCACTTAATTTAAGAAATCATTTATCGAGATATCTTTCATTCATTTTGCATCTGGAAATTTCCCAGACGTTTTGAAAAGGTAGTGGAGTAGATTCCTGGTGCTTTCTCCATAATTTTGAATTCGGGATCACTTCAGATAGACTTCTTGAAATAGCTTCAGAGTCCAATCTGACATTTAACCCAGGGTGAGGGGGAGAATAGAAATATTCAGCCTTTTTCCCAAGTAAATTATTGAGAAACACACATGGCGGCCTCTGTCATAATTTGAACTCGGCTTATTGTTGCTATCTTCCGTATTGATAACTATCATACTACTTCGCATATGACATTATAATTGCTAGGAGTATTATTTATTCATACGATTCCTCTATCTGTGAAATTGGTTACTTAACATATACATATTGTTTGTTAGTTCAAATCTTGGGTATTTTCTATTTGATTATAGTATTCTTACCATGAGTAATATTCATTTTGCATTTTGTAATATTCCAATACCTATCAAACTTCTTAGCAACCAAATGACGTAGATATAATTTTACGTCAATCAGTCAGTTGCCATGCGTGATACACGCTTAGGCGATCATTTATCTTTTGATACATGTCTGACGAGTCAGATTTTTTCTCGTCATAGTTGGCATTTCATTCAGTTGGCATCCAAGGCATCCCGGTTTGTCCTACTATTAACCCATAGCTGGGGAGAGAAGAGGATTCATATCTTTCCCAAGGGTATTAGCACGTAAATGAATGCAAACGTAAATGAACTCAGCTCTCCGATTCCTCAATCCAAGCTGTTATCCATTACTCTACGATACCTCCTAAAAATTTACCTATGTATTTTTATTAATATTATCATTGTATCTTGTGATTTTTAACTCATTCTTATTAAATAATATTTATAAAACTATGCTAGCATTTCTAACATTTTTCTTACGGCCACATCATGTTGAAACACCAGTTCTCATTCGATCACTGAAGTTAAGCAACATCGAGACTGGTCAGTATCTAAATAGGTGACCGCTTCGGAATACTAGGTGCTATAAGCTTACATGTAGGTTTGGTGTAATGAAAATGGATCGGGATTGTTAATCGGAGAGCAAAAATACCCCTGGGAATCGTGTGAATCCATCTCTTCCCCCCAGCTATGGATTAATTAATAATACTTGTATAACTAAACCATGATCTCCCCCTGCAAACCACCAAAAAATGTATTGTGGCTTTAACGTCGTAAAAAAACGAAACAATCAAATCAACATTATTTACATTATTCGGGCTATTTTTCTCATCTTTGTCGCCATGTTTCTAACAACGTTTCAGTCGTTGTACGCTCCGTCCTTCTTCAGATGGGTGGAATGTCGAACTGAACCCTTTATTTCGCTCACTGGGGTAGACTGTTCTAGTTCCACGAGCCATGTCTAATGGATGTCAGTTATCTCCTGTTAATTCCCCTCTCAAAGTTAGACATGCCACGTGCAACTAGAACAGTCTACCCCAGTGTGCGAAATAAAGGGTCCAGTTCGACATTCCAACCACCTGAAGAAGCCCGGAGCGTACAACGGCCGAAATGTTGTGATAAACATGGCGACAAATATGAGGACAATAGTACGAACAATGTAAACAGTGTACATAATACCTTATCTCAGAAATATAGACAGATACCAATCAAATTAAATTTAACAATTTATTGACAAACAAAATGCAATATTAATTTTTACCCATAAACAAAAACAAAAGATTTAAGTCATAAAACGTGATTATCAAATACTCCCATGAATTAGTGATAAGTGTCTCGGATATTCTATACTTTTTATCAGTCTTTCAGCTACAGATTTTACATCTATTTCAATGATAGGCAGTAAGTTTTATGTTGTATTAATTCCATTAAGTTGGCGTCTTTTAAACGTATTTTTGCCAAAGTAGGCAATAGAGAGCTTCGCCAATTTGATGATTTATTTTCTTTTATGGATATGCACTTTAGTTTAAAGCTTTTGCTGGTAACCTGTACCACTCAAACTATCACCTAGAAGAACTTACAAACATTATTTGTACTAATTTAGTTACTGGGCTGAAAACAAATTATTATTTGAATGACTACAACATTAGCTAAAATATTACTACACTTCGCCGTCCTGTTTTCAAAGTTCTGTCAACTGTTTCTAATAACAACGTCCTACTAGAACTACTATCAGATACATCCAAAAAATCATCACACACTTCGTTTAAAATTTCAGTTGAGAAACTAGTTTTCATGTATTTCTATATCCAATTCAGAAATTTGTCTTTGCCATGTTTAATTAAAATGGACAGATGCATGATTTCATGTTCTTCAACAAAGAGTTCTGTATTCTGCATCTATCTTGTTAAATTGACCATACAAGTTTCTTCCAGTATATTAGTGCCGGCCAACCAACTCTACACGATTATTAATATATTAACCTTCTCAAATGTTAATATAGTTAGTGTCGTTTGTAATGTTCTATAATGTCTGTTAAACAAATTCGAACTTTTAACTTAAGGAGACCAGGGCTTCGCATTTCAGTCTACATCTTTCTCAAGACTTACAACAAATTTTATGAGATATATATATATATATATATATATATATATATATATAGTAATTTCAAAGTTATTTCTTGTGGACATTCGTATTTGAGTAAGCGCTCCACTTATTTACTAAATAGTATATTTATTTAAATCTTCCGGTCTGAAAATTCAAGATTTTATTAAAGAAAGACTTGCATTCTCCAGCAGAGTGCAAACTGTTCTTTAATAAGAATTCTTGAATATTCAGGCCAGTAGAAGAAAATAAATAAATATACTGTTTAATAAATAAACGGAGCGCTTACTCAGTTATGAGTGTCCGCTAGAAATAACGTTTGAAGTGATAAACATCTGTCGGATTAATAAAGCCATTCTAAAAGACACACACATATACACTTATGTAAGAAGATAAACAACGCTCGGCTTGCATAATAAAATATCAGAAATGGAGAAAAATTACTATAATAGGCTCTTTATATTTAATCAATAAAAAATGTAATAAAGTGCTACAGCCGAATTAATTAGAAATACCCTCCTTATGAAAATTGCTTGGCAAATGGTATGGTGAGTGAAGCGACGGAAATAATGAACTTATTGTCCAGATTCTATATTTACATTCACTCTAACCCACATATTGAACACTTTTACCCATAAATATACCATGTCTTAAAACGACATTTTAATCATATATATATTAGAATTTGTAGGTCTGATGAATGGGATCGTGATTACAATTCCAATGTAATAAATTATAAACATGGAATATTAGTGTTTGAGCCTTATATATATATATATATATATATGAATCAACACGAAATGGTTTTTCTCAATACGATTAATGTTTTCAGTTATTATGTAGGTGAAGAAAACCAACTGATTTTCTCATACGAGTTATTAAGATAAGAAACTAATATTTCTTTATATTAGGATTAATCGTAATGAACGATTAAATATGAAATATTAAACTTTTATCAAACTTAGTATATAACAGAAATACCTATTATGCTTAACCCAGCCGAAGAGAAAGTTGCAAATGTGATGAAACAAACGAATAGGATATTCATTAGCCATAGCTTGAACGACGATTTTGTACTTCATGACATCGGTATACACAAGTCTTGGACTGCAGGAAATTTATTTTTACATAGCTTTTATTAGAGGTGCTTTTCATGATAATTGAGAGCGTTGACTCCCAGAAGTAGCAAAACGTTCTTCGTGTATCAGCTGTCTGGTGTGGAACTCTAGTTAAAATATACTGCTGTCACGCAGTCTACCTGAGAGAGCACTGCAAGTTAAAAATATGTCCTGGGTTAAACAATTAAGCAAATGTACTTAAAGAAAATTGCCTTTTCGCAGGCGAAATCTGTTTACCCAAACAGTCAATATGAGTAATGTCTCTCTCCCACTTTATATACATATATATATATATATATATATATATATATATATATATATATATATATATAGCCTACATATGTCTAAACATACATAAATATTACCAACAGGTATCCAATTATTTATCGATTGACTACATACAGACGCATATGAAGACATTTTTGGGAAGTTATATATATATATATATATATATATATATATATATCAAAAAAAAGTTCCATGTATATGTACTATAATATAGTACATATATAAATTTGGTACGCGCCCATCTCTCTCAAACATACACACACTCTATATTTCTAAGGAGGAAACCGGCCGGGTTTTTTATCTGTTATATATATATATATATATATATAAAATAATTAAATTATATCTGGAAGTTGATCGCGTGATTAACAGAGTAACTCTCACTGTGTCCCTTTATATATATATATATATATATATATATATATATATATATAAAAAATAAAATAGAAAAATAAATAATATTCATTTTCTCAATGTATGGTGTGCGTGTGTTTGTACTACACGTTTAAATGTATTCTGTTCGTCTCTCAGACTCGTAACTTGAAGTTTTGGAGACTAATATAAAATGGCTGGACGAGAAGATATGGAAACATGCAGTACGTATACAGTTGTTACCCAACATTTAAAGAGAATAAATTGATCCAAATTTCTATTCTATCGCTCGTATAAAATATAAATATATGCACACATCCATAAATATAACAGTGTCGAAAAATAGCTATTATATATATATATATATATATATATATGAAGAGAATTAACAAACAGGTTTAGAATACAGTTTCTGGCATTTACTTTGTTTTTAATCATTTAGATCATAATAATTTTGATATTTTTTATTAAAACATATACCTTACATTGCGACACGGACATTCCTATGTTTCGAGACTTAAAGTTTTTATTTCGTCATTAGGCAAAGTTCTGTAACTTTGATGAAAATTCTATTTGAAAATAGAAAAGAATATGTTTGCTCATTAAAGAGCTAATATGGATGGTGATTTTGGGTGTGTCAATTTTAACTATTCAAAAGGAAGTTCAACGCAAAATTTGAAAAGTTAAAAATATAGGTTAGATTCAAGGGGATGTAATGTATTCATACATGTCTCACTGAACTGTCATATTAACGGATCGACACATTGCTTCCTGGAAAAAACTACATATTTAAGTTACGAAGAAATATTCTTAGCGATATAAATATCCATGAAAATGGGTTAATTTTTGTATTTAAAAAAAAAATATTTTAATAGATATTTTACAACTATCTTAAAGGGACCTCCGTTATGATTAAAAGATTTTTTTTATATATTTTTGAGCCAAAATACAATTCTTATTTTATTCAAAATATCTTTTAAAAACAGCGATCTAAAATTAAAGAAAAAATATATTAAATTAATATTACATGTACCCTATTATATAATAAAATAATGCATATTGTGCAACCATGCATACCTGACGAGCTTAGAGAAATATTCATAGATATATGATTTGTTTTTTACGGTTTATCAACCATTTAATAATTATTTAAGGCCAAAAAATATTTTGGGTTTTAAGAATAATTCTTTCTTTACATTCAAGCGATCTGGGAGAAAGAAAGAAAAAAAGAAGAAAGAAAAAAAAAAATATACGAAAACAGGTCATAGGCGAGCACACACACGCACGACAGATAACAGGTGTCGAAAAATATTCAGGTCAAGCATCTGACCGATTTCCGTGGATCCGCGAAAAAAATGGAAGTTTGTTATCAATTGGTTGTCACCCAAGGGAAAAAGAAAGAAAGGAGGAAAAGAAGAAACGAAGTTTAGGGACAACGAAAATATTGATAAGTAACAAGTGGGAAAGTGTGTCATTGGAATGATAGTAAAGGTCTAAGTGGGTGGGGAAGTGTATCTAAGGATATGAAGACAAACCATTAATAGGAAAACACAGACAATTTTCAGAATTAGAAAAAGCCACACAAGATGATGGTCACTGGCAAATTTTTTTTTTGAGATAATAAAGATTTTTATTATCAGACCTTCGAGGAAAGGGAAAATGAAATATTTTTATTCCGTTTCAGAAACGCCAACGAGTCTGAGAAAT